GGGTTTTTTGTTGTTCTCCCGCCCTGGCGGGGGGTCGGGCTAGAAGATCTACTAGGTCCCTTCCGACCCTTAATCTATGAATCTATGAATCTATGAAACCTGGGTGCCCGACCACAGCATGCATTTCACGCCCCTCGGCTGCCGTGCATGCCGTGCCTCGGCCTCGTCTCAGGGATCCCAGCCTCTCGCCCCTCACAGCTTCGGCTTTGAAATGCAAGTGTCATTCTCTGCTTTCTTCGCTCCCGCCAGCCCAAGCAGTCCGGGACCCTCCTCTGCTCCCTTAGCTCCGTCTGCAGCGCCCGCATGTGATGACTGCGCGCAGGATCCCCTCCTTGCCTGCCAGCCCCTGCCGTCTCCAGCCCTCCCCGCTGCCAGTGCGGTCACAGAGCAGAGACCGGCCTCCCCCAGCACCTTCCCTGCGTGCTGGGCAGATGCCAACCCGCTCAGTCACAGCTCTGGGTCACGATCCAAAATAATCAGTGCCCAGGGAGATAAGGTGCCCAGGCAACTGACACAGCCTTTTTCCCCGCGAACCTTGGTGCCCTTCACACATGCCTGTGCCCTCTGCCCGTGCTCCCGTCCCCGCTCACGGGTAGGAAGCCAGGGCACAGCCAGAAAAAGGCAAGCACCGACGAGCATGGCCCAGCTGGGCTGTGGGGCCCAGTGGTTGCAGCCCTGGGCAGGGCTCAATCAGTGGGACCTGCCAGCAAGGCGAGCACGTCTCCTCGCGGGTCCCTGTGGCGTCACCCCATCGGCAGGCGGCAGAAAGCCCAGGACGGGCAGGAGCGGTGCTCCCCTCCCGCAGCCAGGAGCTCTGGGGCGTAGCGACGCTTTGGAGGAGGGTGCTGGCCGTACCATGGCCACAGACACGACGTCTCCTGGGACCCGGTTTCCGCAAAGGAAACGCCAGCCCAGCGCCGACTCCATCATGCACACGCGCGAGCTGGTCCACGGGCCGAGAGACGGGAGCCCGAGGAGGAACGCGAGGGCCGGCCCCACCCTGGCCTCAGACACCGAGACGTGCTGCTTTCGCTCAGCGCCCACGCGCGCGAGGGCAGGGCAGGGCAGGGCGGAGCGAGCCCGCGGCCCGGCTGGCAAACGGGGAGAGACACGAGAGCTGCTGGCACGGGACCCTCCTCCGTTGCATAACCCAGCCGAAGGCCATCCCCATCTCGCTGCCAGGTGAGGCAGCACCAGCGAAAAGGACCCAGAGACACCATAAAAAGCAACCGTGACTGATAAATCCTTATAATCAGCTTCCCCAGCTCCACGGGCCAGGCCTGGCAGGCGAGGACAGGTGCCGGGTCAGGCGGTGCGGAGGGGTCTTGGAGGCCGCCCCACCACTGCAGCCCTTTGCGGATGGTGAAGATGGGAGCAGGACAATGACTCGGTCCTCAGCGATGCTGCAGGGCCACGGGCCACTCCTGAGGTGCCGGGTAGCACGGGTAGCGAGCACAGCGCCAGCCGGGTAGCACATGCCAGCTACGCTGCGTGCACCCGATGCCTCGCTGCGGCACCGTCCCTGGGGAGGAAGCTGCAGGAGGGGTGGGGGGAAGCACGGGCAATGCTATCCTGGAGACAGTCTGGGCCCCCTCCTCCAGCTGCCCTGGGGACTCCTTCCCTCAGCACCCGCCTGCCCTGGGCCCCAGCCCGTGCACCCTGTCCCCCCATCCCCCCAGAGCTGCTCCCTTCTCCCTAAGCCCTGGCCCGGGGACTGAGCTGCACCCGAGCCCCGGAGGGGAAGGGTGCTCCAGGCTCGTAGGGCCAGTGGGTTGCAAACCCGCGCCCTGCCCGGGACGGCCGCGCTCCACCCTGCTGACAGGAAGGCAGGACACGGGAGGCAGCAGGCAGGGCCGTGCTGGGACATCGGGAGCTGCGGGGTGGGGTGGAGGAAGCCGCCACATCCCCTGCCTGCAGCCATGGCCACAGCCCCTGGGTCCATGAGCGCTGACTTAACCACATGCAGGGCGGGGCGGCTCCGGGGGGGCCCAGGCACCTCAGCCTGCTCCAAGTCATGCACCGGCAGCGATAACGGACTATGGTCCAAAGCCACGTGCCCTGCCCACGATAAGCCAGGCCCGCGGACTTCGCACCCTGCTGTGCCGCTAAATAACAGCGCCGGGGCATGTGCCCCCGTCTTCGGTGGCCAGACGGAAAGATGGTCCCGTCCCTGGCGCTCCTGCTGGCTGCCCTCGCCCTGGGGACCGCGGCCCCCCTGCCAAACAGGCACAACCGCAGCAAGCTGCTCCTGGTTTCCTTCGACGGCTTCCGGTGGAACTACGACCAGGACGTGGACACCCCGCACCTGGACACCATGGTGCAGGAGGGCGTGAAGGCGCGCTACATGACGCCCGCCTTTGCCACCATGACCAGCCCCTGCCACTTCACGCTGCTGACTGGTGAGTGCCCGCGAGTCTCCCCAGGCGAGGCGGGGGCTGGCGGGACAGGGCAAGCCCCCAGCATAGGGGGATCCCTCGCTTTGTCACAGCCCTGCTTGCTCCAGCGCTCCCATTATCCCAGTCCCGGGGCCATGTCACTGGTGCGATGCTCGTGTTGGCCCATATCAACACAAATATTGCAGTAGCCCCAGGTAAGCCGGTGGGAACCGGGAGCAGGCAGAGGTTGGGAGCATGGGCAGCACGGAGGAGGAAACTCCTGATGTTGATGGGAGGCAGCAGTCGGGTGGGCTGTCACCAATGCAGGGGACAGCGAACAGCACCGGGGTCATCTGACCCCATATTCCTGGGTAGGAGAGAGGGCAAAATGCTTCACTAAGGAGTCCCCGACCCAAACGGCAGCGATGCTAGACCTTGGCAAGTGGGGAAGACCTGATAAAAAAGCAAACAAGGTTTTTTGGGTAGATGCAATATTTTTTATTAGACCAACTAAATAGTTGGAAAACTTGTTCTGTGCCAGCTTATGGGCACCAACACCCTTCTTTGGGCATTGAGAGACTCTGCTCAGACTCTCAGGAGGGTGGGAAGAAGGGCGCTTGTGCCCGAAAGCTTTCAAAGAACAATTTTCCCAACTATTTAGTTGGTCTAATAAAAATATCCCATCTACCCAAAGAACCTTGTTTGCCTGTGTCCTTAGACCAACACGGCTGCAACCAACAGCCCATAAAAAGCAAATTTTGATCAAGTGACCACCAGTGGATTCAATGTAAATTAAGAAGAAATAAATAATAGGTAACTTTGATTTTTGTACTGAAATGGAGCAGATTTGGAGAAACTATGGTCTGGGATAGACATTGCACAAACCGGTTAAGTCTACATGCAGCCAGGTTTACCTTGAACCCGTGTCAGCCATTTTCAAACTGGTTTATGGGCACTGCATGTCTGTTCTGTTATAGGTTTAAACCAGTTCCTGATCACTTAAACCGGTTGATGTGTAATGTCAGTCCCTAGCTTTTAGGAAGAAATGACCTGGGCTGAAGAGCACGGGAACGTGAAGGGAGAGGAGATGTGAATTATTTGAAAGCGAAGGTGCAAACAGCAGCTGGAATATGAATCCTGAGTGAGGGGAAAGCTTTAGTGCCGGGCTGCGGGCCGACACGAGCAAGCAGCTACGTCGCAAGGGATGTTAGGAGGAAGCAGAGAGCCGGCAGGGGGATGGCAAAGCAGATGATGTCCAAGGGTCAGGAGCCGTCTGTATAATACCGAATCACTAAATCGGCCTTGCAGAGCACACGGACACAAACGGCACCAGGCCCTTTAGCCAGGCAGAGAAGCAGAGCAGCGGGGCCGCCGTGCCGTGAGGATGTGGGAGAGATGAGAGACCGCCTGGGCACGGCCCCCAGCTAATGAACACCTTGCCTCCGCTGCTAACGAGGATGATTATACAGACCCCGGGAGCAAAGGCGGGGGAGCTAATGGGAAGCGGTGCAGACGCGAGAGCCGCCGCTTCCGAGGAGGAAGTCTGGCTCAAAGCGCTCGATGCCCTGGCACGCGGGGGCTGCTCATCTCCATCCCCAATGTGGAAGGGCTCGCACAGGACAATGCACATGCAGCAGGAAGGATTTTTAATGAAGCAATCGAAGTGGGGGCATGGGGCGGGGGGGAGGGCTGGAGAGCAGCCGGCACAGCACCAGTGCTTGGGGAAAGGAAAAGCAAGCAACCCGGAGACGCCTGGGCCTTTTGCCTGGTCCACGGGGCTGCAGAGCAAACTCCGGAGGAAGGAATCACAAGGCGCCAAGCAGAAATTGGGTTGCAGCGGGGGGTTACCCGATGGGGGTTGTGCCGCACGCACTGAGCTTGCTCGGAGGAGGCCGTGTGTTTTTGGCAAGGGAAAGGCAGTGGGTCTATCCAGACTGCTGCATCGCTCCCTATAAATACATTCAGGGGGCTCTTCGGAGGGGAGGAGAGCTACTGAAGCAAAGGGAAATGCTGGCTGAAGGACAGACTGGAGGACTCGGCTGTGGTGGGGCTCAGGCTGGACATGCAAACACCACGTAAGCACTGAAAGAGCAGTGCTCGAACACACGTGCCGGCCGGCTCCTGGCCTCCACCGCTCCTCACTACGCGGGGACGGAGGTCCGGGATGTGGGTGACGGGGGCTCAACCACCTGGGTACAATGAGACCAGGAGGCCGGGCTGGAGGGGACTGCGGGAGTGGGGTCTGTGTGCCCAGCGTGGTCCTAACCCCGCTGTCCCACCCCGATCCCGGCAGGGAAGTACATCGAGAGCCACGGGGTGATCCACAACATGTGGTTCAACACCACCTCCGGGCAGAAGCTGCCCTACTACAACACGCAGGGCGTCTCGGCGTGGTGGGACACCGGCAGCCTGCCCATCTGGATCACAGCACAGAGGCAGGTGAGCGAGTGGCCGCAGCCTCCCCCCCCCGGCTCTGGTTCGGGGCTGGGAGCACGGGCCTCGGACCGGCGGGCAATGCGGACGTGCCCCTTGCGAGCCCTTTGCGGCCCACCCAGCGTGCCGAACGTGGGCCGACCGAGGGGTTAGCCCCGACGCACGGGCTATCGAAACGGGCACCAACCCTGCGGAGCGGCACGACCGCTCCTGGCTGCAGGGTGGGCAGCAGAGGGGACAAAAGCCACCGGGGCCTGGCCTTTCACAGGCCGTCGCCTTGCACGGCAGGAGGGCACCCCCAGGAAAACACGCCAACACAGGGGCTGAAACCACCGTGGGCCCCCCGAGACAGCCCCGCGGCTCACGTGGGCGATCGGTGTCCTATCTGGGACATTTCAGCTGGGTCTCGAAGGCACAAAGCCAGCCCCAAGCCCACGGTGACCTGCTTACCCCTGTGCCTCGCACCTCTCGGGGGAGCAGGCGCAAGAGGGCCCGAGCTGGTGTCCGCTGACTGCGGTGCGAAGACTTCCAGGGGTTGCAAAGCACTCGGGGCAGGAGCCGCGGGGGGAACCAGTGCCGGTGAAGGCTGGGCGGCCCCGGTTCAGCAGGGCAAAGCAAATAGCGGAGGTCAGGAGAAGCCTGGCTGGGAGGGAAGACAGGTGCTGGCGGCGGAGGAGTGCGGGGCTGGGGCAGGCGATGGAGGAGATGAGCATTAACCACTGTCTTGGCCGACAGGGCTTGAGGACAGGCTCCCTCTTCTTCCCGGGGGGCAACGCCACGTACCAGGGGGAGCAGGTGAGCGTGAAGAAGGTGGAGGGCCTCTGGCACAAGTACAACAACGAAACCGAGTGGAGGCAGAACATCGACACCGTCATGAGGTGGTTCACAGAGGAAAACCTCGACTTCGTCACGCTCTACTTCGGGGAGCCCGACTCCACGGGGCACAAGCACGGCCCCGAATCCCAGCAGCGCAAAGACATGGTCAGCCAGGTGGACCGAACCGTCGGGTACCTACGGCAGCGCATCTGGGAGAGCGGCCTGGAGCCGAGGCTCAACCTCATCATCACCTCGGACCACGGCATGGAGACGGTTATAAAGCAGGACGAAATATTCCTCGGGACTATGTCTAACTTCTCCTTCAAGGATATCCAGTTTGAGCTCCTAGATTACGGCCCCAACGGGCTGCTGGTGCCGAAAGAAGGAAAGCTGGAGCAGGTGTACCAGGCCCTGAGGAACGCGCACCCCCGGCTGCACGTCTTCAAGAAGGAGGAGTTCCCCAGGAGGCTCCACTACGCCGACAACCCCAGGATCACCCCCCTGCTGATGTACAGCGACCCGGGATACGTGATCCACGGGGTAAGACCCACGGGCAGGTGCTTCTGCTCTCTGCCTTGCACCTGCCGTCCCCCTCCCCGTAACTCCCCGTGCCGGTACCCCGTGCGCTGAGCCAAGCCACCGTCTCAGAGGCCAGGGCCTCCCCTCCCTGTAGGGACGTAGACCCCCATCCCGTGGCTGCTTGTCTCCTGCCCTGGGGGCCCAGATAAGGAAAAGCCCCCACCAAGAAAGAACAAAGGTGCCTGCAGGTCACGATCCGGGAGCGCTGCCCTGGGCAGGGGGAGCCTGCCCGACGGACCAGCTGCACAGCGGGTGCCAGGCAGCGTCCTCAGGCCTTTGCAAATGTGGACGTGCACTCGGGTCACTTCCGAACGTAGACGGAAACCCCCCGCCGTCCATGGCTGGATGCTGGGGTAGAGCGAGTGGGGAGAGGTCTCTGCTCTGGCAGTGACCTCCCTCGCCGAGAGGGGCCGAGGACGGAGGGGCGAGCAGCGAGGGGCCGGGGTGTTTGGGAACTGGCCGCAACTTCTCCTCCTTCGCAGAGAATCAAAGTGCAGTTTAACAAAGGGGAGCACGGCTTCGACAACAACGCCACGAACATGAAAACCATCTTCCGGGCGGTGGGACCGGCCTTCAAAGCGGGGCTGCAGACAGAGCCGTTCGAGAGCGTGAACGTCTACCCACTCCTGTGCGAGCTGCTGGGCATCGTGCCGGAGCCGCACAACGGGTCCCTGCACGTCATGATGCCCATGCTGAGAAACGCCCCAAGTGAGTAGCTCCCCTCTCCTGCTGCACGGTGCTCGGGGTGCCAGGAGCTTGGCACAGGGACCAGGGGCTGCTCCCCGCCCTCCCGGAGGGGCTCCCTGACTCCCTCTGCTTCCCATTTCCATTGCAGGCTCAGCCACCACCACTGCCAGCTACTGGGTAACGACAGGTAAGGTCGCAGCCGGCCCCGGGCACGGTGCCCGACCCTGCCAACCACCTCCCTGCCGCGCCGGTGGGCTGGAGCCAGCGCCTGCCGGACTCTTGGGGGAACATTGACACCTAGCGGCAAAGCACGAGCACAGCCACTTGCCACTGCTGCTCCGTGCCCCTTTCCACCATCCCCCCTTTCCCCCAGTGCCTCCCCCCTGCAGCCTGGGAGCAGGGGCAAGCACGCTTGGCTGCAGCATTACAGCTCCCCAGTCTTCGAGGGCTCGGCCCAGGTGCCCCACGGTGCTGGTCACCCATAGCTGTGGCACTTCCTAGGCTAAGAGAAACCTTCAGCAGACAGAGGCGTACGGCTGTGCGCTGATAGTGCCCCCATCC